ACCTGTTAAAAACCAAATATTTTTTTTTTGCTGTATAATTAATTAAAATTAAATTAAGAATTGTCCCTGTTTAAAAATTCTCCCTAGGCCAGACCCGCTTGTTGAAAAAGCCATGTCTTGAGGGCGCGGCGAAAAGGTAGGAGATCCGGAATCGTCCGGATCTCGGGGGGTAGTTCGTTCCAGAGGGTGGGGGCACCCAAAGAGAAGGCCCTCCCCCTGGGGGTCGCCAGCCGACATTGCTTGGCCGACGGCACCCTGAGGAGGCCCGCTCTGTGGGAGCGTACCGGTCTGTGGGAGGGAATCTGTGGCAGAAGAATCCTGTAAAATATCACATGGCCAACGTTTTTGGCCTTGCTCACTTTGGACGATTCTGTGGGGCTTTGACTCCAGTTATAACTTCAAACCTGGGACTTTCTCTGTGCAGTTATCAAATGTTCCAGGGCCCTGCTTTATATCTGTATAGCTTAGATTAAACAGCATACTGTATTTTATGTGCAGCATGCTATATTCGGTATCTCAATGTCTTCATTTTATACAAAAGCAATCTTACCACTGCCTCCTCCCAATTAGTAATGTTCTTTGAGTCAGATTAAAAAAAACAGCTGCGTTATAATTACATTTATGATAACCTGTAATTGGACTTAGGAGTGTCTTTGGAGGCAAACCAAAAAAAGGAAGATAGCAGCCACAACCATGAAATCAAAGCTCTGCCCCTATTTACATGCACTGCACATAGGTAATAAAAAGAGGTGAATTTTTGATCTCGTGCTCATGTTGTCTTGACTATTTTGACCTTCTCCCACCAGGGACATCCCTGATTGGACTTGGTAATACAAAACCAGCCCCTTGGAATTGTACTTCCACAGTCAAATATCTCCACTGAAAATTTTAAAACAAACTAAGTTAAGGAGCCTCAGGCAATGGGTGTTTCTTCTACAAAAGCCACATCCCTCCATGCTAGCACAGACAAGTATAGCCCTTGCCAACTGCTTTGTGTTTTTTTAAAAAAAGAGCAACAAAGAATCTTGGAAATTTAGAAATACAGAATAAGCTAGGTAAGAATTTTTTTAAAAAAACTAATAAAAAACCCCTTGAATATATGATGTGATTCCATGGAGAAAACTTTTTAAAAATGAAGCAATCATATTCAACAATTTGACCCAAAAGGCACTTGAACAGACAAAAGTAAACTATTAGGATCTACTTAGTATCACTAAAGAAATTATATTTGTATAAAGAAGTATGGGCTAGAAAGGTCTACAAGGCTGTTCTATTTTAAGTACTAACGTCTTAAAAATTACTTCAGCAAGGTCCCATTCTACATCTGCAGGAAAAGTGAGCTACTTCTACACTGCTACATAGATGGGGACATGATTTAGAACTAACCCATTTCCAAATTGACAAACGCTGAGACATGCCCAACAGTAGCTGTAATGGAACAGATCTGGTGGCTCCATGTTTAGAAAACTAAGTGGTGGCTTTAGGTCCTAGTCCAAGTAAAAACATAGTAGGAGGTACCTTAAACATAAAATACATCATTTGTATGTGGTTGCCATAGCATCCTCAGACCAAGTTTGGATATTCTGATATTGTTTGATGGGGAAGTAGTTGAGATGGCAGACTAATAATAGGGTGGTTCGGATCTGGAATGACTTTCATCCCAATATCCCAAAAGGACTTTCATCCCTTTGAAGACTGGAAATGGAGGTTGCTCTGTGTCCCTACTTTGAGCGCCTAGAGAAAAGGTAGCATATAAAGTGAACAAATCATTATTATTATAATTTATTCAATGTATAGGCTGCCTGATCAGTTACTGGAACCACCTCTTCATACAGCTTCTAAGAACTAAACAAGAGATTCAGAATTGTCAGCCTAAACTAAAATGGCTCTAATTAACAATTGAAAACTTCTGTCACCCAGGAGGATGAATGAAGCTTGAATGTCCACGCAAAAATGCACTTATTTACAGTATTGTTGACTATAGTTCTAAGCATGCATTGCTCACCTTTCTTAGGGAGAAGCTTGGCAACATTTCTGCAGTCATGATATGTTCTTCCAGTAATAACAGGAAACAATTTCTCGAGTTATACTGTAGCAATTTAAATCACAGAAATTCTACCAAGATGAAAAAAACACAGTTCTGAACTGGAAGGCTGGAACCCTTTAAAAAAAAAACAACCTCACAACCCACACCTAACTGAACATCTGCAATAGGAAACTAATTTTAAAATCCCTATGTGATGGAACACTACATACTTATTATTTATTGCCACTGCCTTCTTCTATACCTCACATTTCAATGGACGGGTTGTTTTATTATATTATGTGTTATGTTACACACAATTCCTGCTTAAACCAGTTTTTACGTAATTAGACAATTAACATACTTTGCCTCCTCGTTGTGCTCCCCTCCTTTTCTTAAGGCAAAGCTTTGATTGCTAATGAAACACACAGAAATCCAAACATGGCAAAGTATCTTTCCATGTTTTGTGACAGGCAAGATACAAAGATAGCTCTAAGGTGTAACCCTTCCCCCACATCCATACAATAAAAAAGACACAGTTTAGGTATGTCCAAGTACTTTAAATACACTTCAGGTATAGATTTCTGATTCAGTCTGATGGGTGCAGTATAGCATTAGCAATGACATTTTAAAGGCCTGGGATTATTGATTCATTGCATTTATGTCTTGTTTTTTCTCTGAGAAATCAAGTCAGTTTTACATGGGGGCCTCCTCAAATTGTATCCAAACAAGGTACAAGGTGAGTTTGGCTGACAGAGAATGACTAATAAAAAATCATCCCACTGAGCTCCACAATTTAATTGGCCTTAAAATTTTACAATGTGTTAACCACTGTACATTATTGTCTATCCATAGAATAATGGCATTCAATGTGGTTTATATTACACTATATCTACAAATATACACTAGAAAAAAATACATACACGTGGTAATTCAGCAAACTCCAACATACAGCAATTGCAGCAGGAAACGGATAAGAGAGAAAGATTCCACCAAAGTCATTCCTATTATTGCACCATCCACCTTACATTACATTACATTATTACATAAGGTGTTTAGCTATTAAATTATTATCCTGACAAATACATTTATTACATCATCCTAAATATTTATTTAGGTAGCATGATTAAATTTCAGGGTGCATTGATGTTTGACTCTGCTTCAAGTCTAATTGTCTCAGATCTGTGATATTTAAACCAAATGCTGTGGTTTTATAACACTTTTCACCGAAAAGAAGGTAATAACATGCCAGTCCTTATTTACTGTGACCGTTGTAGCTCTGAAAAGAGGCACTTTGGGATTTTCAAAATGACAAGCAATCTGTATATATTTTAAATAAATATATAATAGTTATTCAATAATTAAAAGAAATATTAAATATAGAATTCAACAAACACGACACCATTGTATCGCTAAATTGTGGAGGCTGTAATTAGTTTAAAGTTATACATATACTATATACTTATAAATGCTGCTCCTAAGTCTCGTTGGGGAGGGTCCTAGGGGGAAAGGGGTGTCAACTTTAGTGGGGAGGAAGACTATGATTTATTCTGTAGGGAGACAAAGAGGATGAATATGGCTGGGATCATGGCTTAATTTCCCTTCATGTACTGTATGTAAATGGAAATATTGGCAGTGAGGTCTGCTCCTCCTAATGGTGCACTGGATACTGCCCAGCTGCCAGGGTGGTGCTGACCTGAACACAGCACAATGCAGCACTATCCTTTACTGCATCCATGCCTGGGTATTCTGAAACAGATCCTATTGGGTTGAAACCAATGGTACTCTTCGGTTTTTGAAAAACAATTAAGAAAAACAAATACCACTGCAAATATACCAACTGCAGTGAGGCAAATAGCTTTGCAAGAGCTCACTCATCTTGTCCCTACTTAAAGGAGTCTTTTAGTCAGTGGTGGGATTCAAATATGTGAACAATCAGTTCTCTGTGTGGATGCCGCTTTCGGAAGTCCATTCTGGACCTGGGCAGCAAAAAATTAGCTACCGGATCTGCTGAAGTGGTGCGAACTGGCTGAATCCCATCACTGCTTTTAGTCATCTAAATATTACAATTAGATTTAAAATAAAATGATTTACTGTATACTGAAGATTGGATCTTCACTTTTCAACTGTAACTTGTAACTGTACTTGTCAAAAAATACCTCATTTCAGAACCAGAGATTTAAAAAGAATATTTCTGCCTCCATGTTATCCTAAAAAAGTAAGAGGAACACTCTGAAATGCTCCATAATTATTCCACAACCTGCTAGAGTCTGGTGGCATTAATTTGACTTTCCAAAAGTTACTGATCAAAACCAAATTATTGCAGGCTTCTGTCTCTTTTTATGATTTGACATGATAGAAGTTAATAAAAGCTGCTTTGTAAGAT